TTGTCAGAGGTGGCCTCTCCGATTAAAAGCTCTTCAACCTGCAGCAACCAAAGTCACAGTTTAGGGTTTTTTTAAGTGCACTACCCTCTTTCTCCACCGCGAGACTCGCCCATTCGGGCATACACTGAACAAAGCGACCAAACACCAGGTTTAGGGTTTAGGGTTTAGGGCATGCGGAACCGTGACCGCAGAAACCGCTAATAAGTCCTGGAGACCAGCGAAATATACACCTAGCTCCGGCAGAGCCTTCTCCTTAAGTCCTCTTACTGAGACCCTAAACTCTAAACCCTAAACGTTCGATACCCTAAACCTTAAAACCCCAAACCCCAAACCCTAAATTTTCAAAACCCTAAACCCTAAACCCTTAACCCAGATCCGGAAACCTCAAAGCCCTAAACCCTAAACCCTTAACCCAGATCCTTAAACCCTAGACTTTTGAAACCCTAAGCCCAGACCCTGAGTCCTCAAACAGACTCAAACTCAGAGGATCATGGGACTTAGTAAGTAAGGTTATAAGGCCCCTTTTTGGGGGTTACAAGTATAGTTTAGGGTTTAGGGTTTAGGGCTATGGGACTTAGTAAGTAAGTTTATAAGGCCCCTCTTTTGGGCTTATAAGTAGTTCAGGGTTTAGGGTTTAGGGTTATGGGACTTAGTAAGTAAAGTAAAGCTATAAGTCCCCTAATTGGGGGTTATAAGTTATAGGTATAGTTACCCTAGTTATAACCCTACTTACGAAGTCCCATGATCCTTTAAGCAAGCTCAGAGGAAGCTGTCAGGGAGGTAGAGTCCGCGTTCTGCGGCTTTCTGGACCTCCGATGCTTGAAGCCGTGAGGGTTTCAGGTTTCGGGCTTAAGGTTTGCCCTAAACCCTAAACCCTAAACCCTAAACCCTAAACCCTAAACCCTAAACCCTAAACCGTGGGTTTAAGGTTTGAGGTTTAGGGGTTTAAGGTCTCGGGACGCTAAACCCTAAACCCGAAACGGGCTCTAAAGGAGCCTTCTACCAGGGTTTAGGAAGGAGGGTTTCGCTTAGAGTCCGGGGCAAAGGGAAAGTGCCTGGTATCCTGTTTATCAGTTATCAAGCCAGGTCAGGTTTAGGGTTTAGGGTTTAGGGACCATGAATCTCTGGAAAGTTGAAGGTGTCGGGTAGCTTCCAACACCCTTCAACAGCCTCGGTAGCATGTTAGAAACTCTCTGCCGCTGGGCCCTGATGTACCGTATGTGATATATACTAGCCACAGAAGTTTTACTTGGAGCCTTGGGGCAAAACCGTCTGATGCTTTCTGAATCCGACGCCCTACCAAGCCCTAAGCTTTAAACCTTCAACCCGAGCTTGCTCACAAAGACCTGGAGTTGGGGTTAGGGTTTAGGGTTTAGGGTTTAGGGTCTAGGGTTTAGGGTTTAGGGTTTTAGGATTTTTAGGGCTTTAGGGGTTTAGGAAGTAGGGTTTAGGGTTAAGGGTCTAGGGTTTAGGGCATCTCCGCCGGGTCGTGCTGCTCGGTGTCGTAGAATCGGACCAGCAGCAAAGCCTCGTCCGCACAATCGGCTAAGAGACCCAGGAGCGGAAGCTTTTCTTCATCTACCCATTGCAGGAACCACAAACCCCTCTGCATCGCATCATGGGTCTTGTTGTTTGCGAGATATAAGGCCAACGTAAGATGTGCGTCCAAGAACAATACGAACCTCCCCAGAGGCTTGGCCGCCGAATCGAAGCGATGCTTTCGCATAGCCAAGTTCTTGATGCGACGCCCGGATGCAGGGCTACTTAAAGGATCATGGGACTTAGTAAGCAAGGTTATAAGTCCCCTAATTGGGGGTATAAGTATAGTTACCTTAGTTATAAGTTATAACCCTACTTACNNTCCCATGATCCTTTAAGTATCTGTCACCTCCTGACAGAACCTCTCGAAGGCCCGAGCCAGCGTGGAGCTAGCCTGAACGAGCCTGTCCATGCTGCCCTGGCCACCTTGATCCCGAAGCCCTGAGCCGAAAAGACCTACACCAGTACGAAAACCTCAACCTTGAACCCTAAACCC